TCATTAAAGCATATACAAAAAATATTAGCTATGGAAGAACAAAATTAGCACCTTATTCCACATTAGATAGAAAAAAAAAATGACCAAGTGTGTAAGAAACTAGACTAATTAAAGGACTGAAAGAAAAGATCTGTCCTCTTTGAATTTTATACTTAGCAAATATACCTTTGAAAACTAAAAGTAAGATTGCCTAGTTACACAAACTTAAAGGGGCTGGGGAGATTGCTTAGTAGAATAAGTGCTTCTCTGGCAAGCACAAGTGGCTGAGTTCAATCCCCGGTTCTGAAAAACAAAACAAAACAAAACAAAACAAAACAAAACAAAAACCTTGAAATATTTTAATACCTCCAGAAGTAGCATATAGGAAATAACAAAGAATATAATTCAAAAGGCAAGAGAAGTTGCAGTATACTTCTGGATGAATAATAAAGAGCTCTCAATGTGATAGTTATACAGGACTGTATAAAAAATATATTAGATGAACCCTTATTTAAAGGTCATTGACAGTTTCTATGAAACAGTACCAATCTTATGTTGGGTTATACATTTATTTTTTTTTCATATATGTGTGTGTATGTGTGTGTAAAAGACAGCAAAGAAGTAATATGAAGTCAACAGAAAATGGAAATATACTTTTTAAAGTTTCTAATACTAGAAGATATCATACAATGTCTGTTAAATAAATTGTAAGTCAAAGATATAGTATAAATCTTAGAACAAAAATTAAACAATAGTCAGAAAATTAAATACTAATTAATTAAAAATTAAATGTTTCAAAACAATTGAACCAAGAAAAAGTTTTCATGATAGCAAAGAAGTACTAAGAGTAAAACATAAGATAAATCCACCCTGTAGACCCAGATGGAATCATGACCCATAGGGTGGGAGAGAAGTCCATTTGTAGAGTGTGCTGATGGAAATATTTTGCTGCTGAACACAAAAGAATAACTGAAAAGACTACTATTGTGTACCTCTTATTCTCCTGTGTTTAATTGTTTGCCCTATTTGCTGGGTTCTTTCCATTCTCATTCATGGGGCTGTGATCAATTTGCTCCCTCTCTAGAACATCATTTAGTAGTCTGTGTAGGCTTGGCTTTGTCA